ATCGGGCATTCATTTGGCGGAGGTTTCGGGTTTGGAGGGATGACAGGATAAAATAGGCATTTTCGCGATTCGTCTCAACAGGTTTTGCCCGGGGTTATAGGTCATTCGAGTTCCTGTTTATATGCCAGCAGCGAAACTAACAGTACATAAATGGAACTCTTACCTAGTTTTGCTATGACTAGATTAAAGAAAATAACGCTGATAAAACGAGTGATAAAGTATATTTTTAACAACAAAAATGTTGTATCCATAGGAATCATCTTACGACAACCTTGCATTTTTACCCCCCAGCCCCACCCCCCTTACACAAACCATGCAAAAGGGCTTAACATGTTCCCGTGTAAGAATCTGTCACCTTTCTATGGTTAGGTTGCCTGCTGATTATACGCAATACTGAATACGATAGACGATCACCACAATTTCAGATACTTAAAGTAGCTGCTTTTACTTGAGTTCAGTTTATTATTCATGTTGTTCTATAAATATCTCCTATTGCGTTATGTCTCAGAATGATTCCCATATCAAGACATTCACTAGTACCGTTTTATCCTAAATATAGCTGTAAATATGAAACCCCAGAGGACAGATTATGCTTTCCTTGGCCTGCAAGAAACAAGTGCTATAACTAAGACAATTGTTCCTTCCTTTAACAAGGACGAAGCAGCGGCACCCAACGTCAAGTTTTGGAAAATATCTGTTCCGAACACGATTTGAGATCTAGAATTTTCGGAACATTTGTTGTAAAATTTCTTTCATGCCTGCCTCTCCTAGGATTATCGAACATCTAAAAATGGTATAATTGCCCATTTTTAACAGATTTTTAGGCTAAAAAGGTCACCTGGAGTTTTCGGGAGTCTTTTCCGGCTGAAAATTTCGCTGAAAGGCGAGTTTTGATCCCGATAATTTTCGGATCACTAGACTTACAGCTAGGAAATTCGAACATATGAAAGATTTTGAGGGCATAAAAATATGCCTATGTCTACCGTTTAAATACTAAAATACGTTCAATAATGCTAGTTTAAGTGGTTTTGAACTATACTCTCGTTGGGTGCCCCTGACGTAGATCTATAACGTTACTCAAATTAACATGTGAGGACAGACCTCAAATTACAGCCCCTTTAAAGCCATCCTTTTGAGGGGCCCAGGGATGGATCTTCCTCAACTATAAACATCTTTAAATCTTCTTAATGTATTGCCGGCAATATGTTTAAGAACTTTGGCATTAACCATTCGCACGATCAGACAATTAGGTTCAAATAGAAATCACAACAAATCGTTCATACGGCCAAATGGAATACCTCTTAAAGTGCTCGTCAAGACACTGTCTGCAGAATCTGTGACCGCATTTCGTTAGCATTGGATTTTTCAATGCTAACTGACAGATTGCACATTGCAAATCGTCTTCCAGTGCGTTAACAAAGTCCTCATCGTATCCACCAAGGGATAAATTTGCTGGAGCTTCCGCCATATTCAACTGAGCACTAACCAGGCGAATGATCCGAGAGTGAACAGCAGATCATGGGAATTGGATACCTTCTATCGTGTAGGGAGGGGCGGAAGTATTCGTTTGTCAGTAAAGTTCGCGGATTTTGTACGCGGAAGGAAATGCCTATGCCACGTGTTCTCACTGTGACAGACTTAAAACTGACCAGATTCAAATATCGATGAAACGAACCCATCGAGAGAAGCAGTAAGCGCCTGGCTCAATACAGGGAGGCCTTTTATTAGCTGCGCAAAACTTTCCGCGAAGTGCGTGTTATGAGCATTGTGAGTAGTTGATTGAATAGACCTAAGACCAAGGCATTACTCCAGTCTCACGATAAAAGATTGGATGACATGTCAATGCCCCCACTGATCTCATCAAGATATTTTCACTCAAATTGTGTTGTTCATGACCACTTTCTGCAACGTTTCTCGACGAACTCGCGCGGAAACGCTTGCTACGCAGGCTACCACTTTCTGGGTCATCATGGAGGTGTAAAAGTTACTCCACCGTACCTCCTTTAAGGTGATGTTACACGGGACGATTAGCAACGACGATTTTCAGCGCATCACAGCGTTGCAACATTGTTTTAAATAGTTACAACATTGTTCCAACATTGCAACGCTGAGATGCGTTAAAATCGTCGTTGCGAATCGTCCTGTGTAACATCACCTATAGTTGCGAAGGTATGGGTATGAGCAAAACCGATATAGCTTCCTTGTATACTTTCTTGTTTTGTCAAGAGATAACTTTCTTTCACTTGTAATAAATATAATTTGCTGTTTCGAACAGCATGAATGTTTTCAAAAGCACCTTTTCGTGTACACATATTTCCTCCTTACTTCAACCATAGTTAATTGAGTGGATGGTTATGAAACCCGTCAGACTCCTTAGTTATATGTTTTTATGGACCTGAAAGTGCACAACGTTCAAAAGAATTCCTATCATTTTGATTGTATTGACCAATAAAAACGTTGCATTAATTTCTTCCGTAACAATTTGCCAACAGAAAACAAAGGATTGTGCACTTTCAGGGTGTTTCCAACATAAACTGCAGCACTGTTGTTTTTGTCATTGATGTTTGCCGCTTTTCATAACCAGTCTCCTCTAAAAACTATGCTTCAACGTCGTTCCCAGGGTTCTCTCTTTTCCTCCCTGGAGTAGGCCTTTGTACATTATGCTAACAGTTTTTTCAGCATTTTAGTGAGGCAAAAGCATTAAAAATTATTAGAGCATTTCAGTGGCATTTTTCCGGAAAATTAGTTTTTTTTTACACAGAAAATAAAAATTGAAACATTTTTGAAGAGAGATGACAACTTTAAAAATAATTCTAAAAAAATATTCAAATTTCACCTTAATACAGCCTTGTAGATGATTTTTTTGCTATATTGAAACTATTTATTTGTATAAATTGTTGTCATACAACTTCTGTTAGCCTTAAACACCCTTAAATGTTTAGAATAAATAATAAAAAAAAGACCTCTCTATGATGAGCATTATTAACTGAAGCATTTTAGTGACTTTTTTGGGAGATCACCGAGCATTTTAGTGGGGAAAAGGAGCATTAAGGTGGGGCATTTTAGTGGGGAAACAAAAGCATAATGTACAAAGGCCTACCCTGGAGGAAAAACAGACTTGGCTGGAGACAGACCCAATATCAAGGACGCCGTTAGTTAGCAATGCAAGAATAACGCCCCGGGGCGTTAATGTTGCATTGCAAACAAAAATAAGGGGGAAAGTCACAATTAACGCCGAGACGTAACAAGCCAGTGATAATATGCCCACGTTCAAACATCTAAGCTTTTTATTCATTTAATTTTTGTTTAAATCTTCGATGCGTTTAATAGAACGCATAGTTAACAACAGCGCAACATTTTTTCTTTCTTCTGTGTTTAAATAGGGTACTGTATTGTTTTGAATCATACTTTAATAGTAACTGTAATTGTGGTAGTTTAACAAATGATTGCTACAGAAACCTACCCTCTTGATTTAAAAATGTAAAACAGATTAATATTTGGTTTAAATTACACTGACTTTTACACTCACAAGCAGGGACTAATCATGTCAACAAACGTGATAAACATTTCACAGGCACAGAGGCTTCCCATGGCTTTTTCGGGACCTAGACAGGTACCAACTGGAGCCCCCTGACTCCATAGCGGGTCCCCAATAGGGTTCGTCAATCCCGTAATCCCGACCCCAAATTTCGTGCAATCCCGGAATCCCGAAGGTCATTTTTGGCATCCCACCTACCGCGCATACTTTCAATCCCGAATCTCGCCTTGATTTTGCTTTAAAATCCTGAATCCTGAGCTTCAAATAAGGGAAATCCCGGATCCCGAAAAAATTTTCTGAGACCCTCTCCTTAAGCAAAAAACATAACGTTCTATCACAACACGGGCAACTTTTAACGATGAACTGTGGGTACAAAATTAATAGCTATTTTCTCCTTGACCACATTATTTTCAGCCTGCACTGAAAGTAACTGATTGTCTACGGACCGTCCGGAACTCCAAAAAAACTATTCGTTTTTTTTTTTCTAACTTTCTAAGTGACAGAAAACCTTTCTCTCGAAAGGTGCTCTTACTTTCAATTATAAACAGCAGTTGGAAATCACAAACAAACTGAAAGATGCTGCATGTCCGAATGCATTACTTTGTAGAAGTTAACAGGAGAATTTGTTAAAATATCCATATAATTCACCTTATGTGGCCATGTCTTTAATTCTCGAGGCCACTCTGTTTTATAAAGCATGGGGGAATTACTAGGAGAAAATTGATGCTCATTTTATTATTATTATTATTATTATTAATCTTAGGGCTTAAAGGGTTAAGTTTTGGTTTATTGGATCATGAATAATTCTTGAATAATTCAACCGCTACTTGGTCAGATAACCACCAAACCACCACTGTGTCGTTGAGTAATCCCCTGCTGTGCAACGAAATTTTACATTAACATCATTGTACCAACCAAAGTTGTCTTCACTGGAAACAGCTTTGAGTTTCGGCTTGAACTCACAGCCGGTAAACGAGCTGTCCGTGTGAAGAAAGTTGCCGTTCTGAAACTGCCAAAACGGTACTGTAGTGCCGTTTCCAGCGGCATGTCCTCGAATATTCACGTATTCAACTGGGAAACACACACCTTTTCCTGAAAAAGCCATGATGTCAAAATCTCTAAACTTTCCCCTGATGTAATCTCTGTAATCAATCGCTTCAACCTGGTTGAAGCTGCAAGTAGCTCGCCAGTGAGTGGAGCGACTGCGGGTGTTTTTCATCCGAGCCAGAGTCTGGCGGTATGAGTACCAATTTGGGGTATTCTCGTTGACTGGAGCATCCTGCATAAATGACTTGCTTTGAAACTGAGGCAAGTTCTTCAATGTGCGGGACCAGGACATGACTAAAGTCCAGGCTGCACCTGGTTCAGATGCGAGATCACAGTAAGCCAAATATCTCTGCCCTTGATCATCAAAGAGCAAATAAAAACCGTTCTCCAACACGCCATGCTTCAAAAAGTCTAC